GATCACAGAACTTTTGTATTTCTTTCAGCTTGTGCTAGCACTAATCTATCATGCTAACATCATAAGAAAGAAGTTTGATAGAAATTAGTTGGTTTCATCAGTGGACAGGCGCATGGACTCTGGGACAAAAGTGAATTGGAAGCTTTTGAGCATGCAAACTTGGGCATGTGATCAAAGCTCTGTCCTTCACTTTCCTCATTTGTAAATAGGAATGACATGTTTAATAGCATCTACCTACAGTGGCGTGTGACTTTAGTGTTACATGCCAAGGGGTTAAAATAGTGCCTGGCATATAGTGAGCACCCAGTGATTATTAATTGCCATGATTAGAACATATACCTTCTAGGATCAGTGGAAAGAGCATCAGTTTTGGAGTACTCTCCTAGGTGTATCACTCAGCTGCATCACTATGAGGTCGGTGACCTGGACGGTTCACTGAACTAAACTGAAGTCAGCCTCTGCGTCTATGAAATGGGTATAATTATACACATTGAAAGTGTTATTGTGAATAACATGACATTGTGGATGGGAATGGCATGGAGTAGGAGGTCAGTGAAGAATGACTATTGCAACAAGAGAGAATCCTAGCTCGGATTCAGGACCCAGATTTACTGGATGTCAGGCAGCTGATTTCTCTGCTAACGAGTCTCTGCATGTAGAGTTGGCATACCAATACCTATTAAAGACCAGAGCTACTGTGTGCTAAAAGTCTGCTTCATAATAAGAACTCCTTGGGGTTATTATCAGTTATTTCTTGGATGAGATAACCACCGCCTGAGGGCCAGCTACTGCCAGAGCACATGTTTTTGTGTGGACTGAAAGCCATTATCTTGTTTTTAAGTGGTAGGTGCAGGGAAGGAGAAAACATATTTTGTGACTCATAAAATTATATAAAATTCAAATTTCAGTGTCCAATAACAACATTTTGCTTGAGCACCATCATGGTCATTGTTCCTGTTGTCTCTGGCTGTTCTCCCACCACAATGGCAGATGCGAAATGTTTTGGCGGAGATCACAAGCCTGCAAAGCCTAAAATATTTATGACCTGGCTCTTTACAAAAATCACTCGCTGATCCCTGATCTGTTCTAACCTTCTCTTTTATGCGAAGGTTACGGGGTAGAGAAATGAGAGACATTTCAATTTGTTTACTTAAATATCCAGAGCTCAGAGTCTAGTTTCTTGACACAGGCCAACACAGCCAGACGCTGACACTTCCTTATAAAAAAAAGAAAGTATCTGGAAAAGTATGGAGAAAAGAGGATAGTTACTGTATTTCTCAAATACAATACAAAGAGTTATGTATTTGTCAGACATATTAAGATATGTCGGACAAAATAATCTGAAGATGTAATTTAAAAATATCCTAAATTATTTGCATTTCTCAGTATTCCTTTTGTGTCTGTAGTGACCCCTTTATAAACTATACAACTATATTATTTCTCCATTATCTCAAATTTTGTTATAGTCAGAGACTTTCTGGAATGTTAAGTTATTCCTTGACGAACAATTCCACACTGGCTTGTTATTTAGGTGCTGTCTCTGCTTTCATCACTTGTGTCATCTCCCCATCGCTTCATTTTCGAAAGCAGCATACAGTACAGCCTAACTGGGTCCAGCTCAACTCTTCCTTCTCCTGGGCCATTCTCCACCCCCTTACCTCTTACTGCTACGCACCCTCCCCAACCCCATCTGCCAAGGTGTCAGTGAAGCTGAGCAACAAATGCAGATAGATTTATTTACTTTTTATTTATTTATTGCTGCTGGACACATTGATACCTTTAAGATGAAAGGAAATAAATGTTTTTCATTTACGGATTTCTATAAATGAGACACAGAAATCTGAGTTACCTAAGTACTTTAGAAGGAATAAGACTGTACTCTGAGCAGGTCATGTGTGTCCTAGACAGGCAGGTGAGGGATTGGCTGCAGGCCAGGGTTTAATTTGCAGAGGTTACATATTCTATAGTCTGAAGAAAACTAGGGACCAAAAGACAAAGACATCTGCTATCTCTTTGATTTAATTATCGCTGGAGGAAATATATTTGACCAGTTATCTGTCTGTAGCTATCAAAAATAGGAATGAAAAAACCTATCTATCTAATCAAACAACCTATTAAAATTAAGTCATTAAAACTATCTATTTTTACCTTTCAAGTACATTAAATCATTTTTGTTTTTATGGAGCTTTAAAAAAATCTAAATTAACCAGAAATTTTGGTATACGGATAGGTCATACCTAACCAGTGACTCAATGGTTGGGGAACAAAGCTTCATTTATATTCGGAATTCTGCTGAAGGCAATGAGTCATTTTCAAGTCTTCTCAAATGTTATTATCTAGAAAAGATGTATCAGTGATGTCCTTGAGGGGCAAGTACTGGCTCAAGTCAAATAGTAAATTTTCAGCAATTTTGCAAGCTGGTTGTTAAATCCTTGGTGGATTGACATGGTTCGAAGTAGGAGTATTTATATCAGGGAAATAGGCAGACTCTGGAAATCAGTACTACTCCTTGTCATTGTGGTTTTTCAGCACACCATTGAGTACATTTAAATCAACCATGCTCCTCAGAGTTCTCATCAGGGAGATGAAACTGTTCTAAAACTGATTTATAGTGATGGTTGTATTCTCTCTAAAATCACTAAAAATTATTGAGATGTATACACTTGAAATGAGAGTGTTTTAAAATCTCTAAAATATGCCTCACTAAAATTGTTCAACAAAATGCTACCAATCAACAAACAAAATGTCAACATGTATAGATGGCTACAAGATCCAGTTACATACCCAATAAATGAAAAATAAAGCCACATTTACTCAGCACTTCTGATGGGTTTATATTCTGTCCAATGATTCCCAACTTTGTCTCACTCTGGAATCACTTGCAAAGTTTAATAAGAAAATGTTAACTCCCAAGATGTTGATGTCTTTTGTTTGGTCTGTGGCCTGAACAGAAATTTTAAAAACTTAGGTGATTCCAGTGTGCGGCCAAGGTTGAGAACCACAACTATAGAGCAATTTCCCCAGATAAGTGTAGCTTGCCTGTTGTTACAGAAACCACCCTCAAATGCTTAATAAGTTCCCAGGTGTTCTGAAATAGAGCGGTCTGGACATACATGCCTATTTGGGGGTTAAGAAACAAGGTTGCATTGAATGTGTTTTCTTTGCACATGGAGGGAAGATACAGATCTGTTTCCTTGTGGGTTTCCTATGTAGTTGCTGCCTGCCACAGGCATTATGGTGGGGAGAAGGGACATCATCTAGCTCACCTTGTCATCTAAATGAGTGCAAATGAATTCAAACACAGAGTCTATACTCAGGGATTATTGAATTAAAGGACCAGAGTTGAATATTTCCTTTGGGTCTCTTCTCTTTGGGAATACTGATCATGGGCTGGGATTATAGATAAGGAAGCATGCACTAAAAAATTATCCTCTATAATAAAAGCATAATATGCAAATGACCAAATGGCAGAACCACCTGTTGTGCATTACCACCAGAGGGCAAATGTTCAACGCAGGAGCTGCCTGCAACCTGCAGGCTCAGGCTGGCTAAGGAGGGTGCCAGCGGAAGACCCTGATCTCCCCACTGATCACCCCACAGATTGGCCCTGATCGTCAGCCAAGCCTAGGGACTCTACCCATGCAGGAATTTCGTGCACCAGGCTTCCAGTAGTTTAATAATTTAATAAGGCTACAAGTGAGAGCCCAAGCATCCACCTTTAGTGTCTGCACTTATGACACCCATTATATATGCTCAGGGGCATTTTACCTTTTCTCTTTGGGGGAAATCTAAAAGGCTGGTGATATCTTCGAACTAAATTCTCAAGGACGAGTTTATTCTATGGAAATTTTTAACTATTATATCTGATTTACCTTTTGAAGTTAGAGTTCAATTCTGAGATCTCAAATTTAAGATATATAGACAGGACCTACTGAGAACTTTTACAACCATGCAGCACCAAAGACACAATCTCTGCTTTCTTAATGCAGATAGATTTGACTCCTGTCTCAGTGTTTCCGGTTAAGAACATTGACTTTGGAAAGTTGGCATCCCAGCTTTGCCAGTTAGTTGATGTGTGATAAAGGCAAGTTATTCAACCCTTTGTGCTTATTTTCTTCCTTTGTAAGATGGAGATGATAACAGTTCCTATGTCATTGGCCTGCTGTGAAGATTTGAGCTGCTTGTTCAGACATAAGGTGCAGGTCATGCCTCTCAAGAAGCACAGGTGTCAAAACCAGCCTCATCAGGTTCTTCCTGGTACTTTAGGATAAAGGTTCAGAGTCTCTAGGAAATCCCCTCCCTATTCCTCTCTGGTGTAATGTTTGTTTCTCTAATTAAATATCCCGATGAGTTGTCTCATCTGGTCTCTACTTAAAGTCAGAACTATTACAACTCCACCCATTGGAACTCACTACCTGCTTGAGGCAGAAATTGTATCCTCTTTCTGAGTTGCTAGTACATAAAAGGCTCACGGTTGCCCCTGCAGTATGCACACAGACAAGAGCTCACAAATGCAGTGTCAGGAGAAAGAAAGGGGCATGCAGACATCGCCGTAGACACTTCCTTCTTTCTCTTGAAAAAGTCCCTCTCCCGTTACAGTTGGAGTGTGGGCTTTCTGTTTATCTTACCCGCAACAGCTTAGAGCTCAACAAGGTTAACAGCACGTTTATTTATAAACCAGATCGATATCAAGGAAGCCAACCAATATCAACTCACACATCCAGTTATTGTCCCTCTCTCCAGGAATGCCCAGTATTTAACTTTTGTCTCAGTTTCTGCATCCACCTGCTTTCACATCAGGGAAAAATAATATGTGCTTTTACCGTGCAATTGGCCCCAAGCAGGAAGACACCTAACAGACACATGAGTGAAGTGGAGGGGACAGAAGAGTGAGTGGCAGAGTGCTAGAGACCATCATTCCTCCAAGGGAGTCTTAGGGTGGGAGCGGAGGGTCAATGCTCACCCAAGAAGCGCTTTGAAAAGCAGATCTGCTCTCTTACCCCAAGTCCTGCAGCAGCTCAGCCTCTCCATCGGGTGTGCTCCACAGATCGGAAGGATCCTGGGCGCTCATCTTTCCTTCTAGACGCTCTGCTCTGCCCATTCACGCTCCTCACGTCCAGCCCCTGGCAGGTGCTATGAGGGAAGAGGCTGAGAAAGGAGCTCGGCTGCTCCTCACACTCTCCTCCTCTTTGAGAGAAGCCAGCTGTGAGTCTCCTCCACCAGCAAGGAAGTGAAACTTGCTTACTCCTCCCACCGACACTCACCACCCCGGCCCCCAGGCACTCGCCTGAGTGTTCAAATAAGTCAGGAAGCGTACAAACTTAGCTCCTACCTCTGAGGGCACCCACACTGATCACGCCACCTGTAGTTTCTGTCAAAGGAAATAAACATGACAGCACTCCAACCAGGGCTGCAACACTTCATTCAAACGCCTCTCCTGAAGCCAGACCATGGTTTTCCCCCCAGTGCTGTCAGCCTCGGGCTGGTAGAGGGCGGTGCACACACTCATTCACCCCACCTTCTGCCTCACCCATGAACACCCAGGAAGCTTCTATTTCGGGAAGGTCATTAACGCGGGTAAACAAATCAGAGTCAAATCTCTGACTTCCATCCTGAAGCCTGGTTGTTCGCACTTTATCCATATTGCTGCCTCAGTTATCCAAGTTTCCAACATACGCTTGACTTTTAGGTAGGCATGATTCAGAGACATGTATTGTTTTCTCCGTGGGAGAAAGATAAAAGGAGAAGAAAGTACTCAGGAAAAGGAGGATGGGGCCAGCCTGCTGCCAACTACTGGGGCATGTTAGAACCCCCCCAATCCTACCCCTACCCCACCCCCACCTCCGCCACTGGGCATACAGCTGGTGTTGCTTGTGTGGTTTTGTGTCCAGACTCATGGGTAGAACATTCCATCTGCCTGAGAGTCCTAAAGGGAAACTGTAGGAACTCTGAATCCTGGAGAGCTGGACAAAGTGTGTGCTTCTGCCTTCTCTGTGTATGTGCTGCAGGAGAGAACGTGTTTCTGGTCTCAATCTCTCTCTCTCTCTCTCTCTCTCTCTCTCTCTCTCTCTCTCTCTCTCTGTCTAGTCACGCCCTGACTCACTCAGGGTTCACCAGAGGGCTCTATAACTTGCTTCTCATCAGGGAGAAGCTGTCCGAGGACCAGCACCATTGGCAGCTTATTGGAATGCAGACTTTCGGATTCATCCCAGCCCTTCTGAACCTGCATTTGCATTGGCACCGGATCCCCAAAGCGACTCCCTGCACATTAACGTGCGAGGAGACCGCTCTGTAGGATACAAAGGCCGCAGAGCGTTCTAAAGGAGAGGCTGATTGGGGCCTGTATTATAGGATCTCAGGGCAGGAGGAATAAGGAAACTGAGGTAGGAAAGTTAATGCCAGACAGTGTGGGCAATTTGCAGCCAGGTTGTAACTAACCAGCCATTATTCCCCCCAGCCAGGGACACTTGAGAGCAAATGGTAAAACACTTCCCCAAGACAAGAATGCAGAGAGGGACAGGGAGAGGAGAAAGGGAAAAAGGACAGTTTTATTCCCTAAGCAGAGAAGCCAGCAGTTTCAAGGCTTGACAAGATAAAGTTGCCAGTTGCTTCTCAAGAATTCTGGGAAGGCCACGACAAAGTAAAAAAAAAAAAAAAAAAAAAAAAAGTGACCTTGATTCATCTGTACCTAAATATTCAGCAAAGGAATGTTGAAATCGATAGCCAAGAGGGTAAATAAAGCTTCGGACCCCATCCAGCTCTCTGTTCAGAGTAGCTGAGAGTCTGCACTTCACAAGCCAGATGTATACGTTTCTTTGCTTTGCTTTTCAATAAGGTATATGCTTTAATAAGCTGTCTTTTCACAAAGCAGTCAAGGTCTCTCGTATCAATTCCTTTATAGGAGAAGACAAGGATGTTGGTTGGGAACGGACTCGGGTGCTGTCTGGTAATGCCTCTCTGCCGTTGGTGAGAGGTAGCCTCTAAAAGCTATCCTTCTGGGTGTCTGACATTTGTGAGGCCCTGGATTCCTCTGATTGCCAGAAATTCCTGCGTTTCTGGAGACAGCCGGGGGGGAGATGAGGCTCTGATAACACACGCTGATTGTACACGCCCGTTTAAAATTTTTTCAGCTACTGTTTGTTCAGAGAGGAGTGTAGGATCCTTGTGTAGCAGCGGCCAGTCTTGGCCAGGGAGGTGCAGAATGTGCCTGCGGCAGAGACAGCGGACCAGCAGGCAGCAGATTTCCTGTACTATTTCTACAGCCCTTTGTTTCGTGTTTTAGTATCGATTTTGTTCCTGTTTTAGCAAATTCTGTGTTTTTCTTTTTTTAGCCTTTTTTTTCTTCTTCTTTTCAGAAAAGTAGCAGAGTTTACTCAGCTGAGCCTCCTTTATTCAGTCTTCCTGCCACTCTCCCTTTCTCGTTTTGCTATCCCATCTGTTGTCTTCCCCTGTGACCGCATTGTTTCATTGTGTCACTTATTTTCCCAGGATCCCTCTCTTCCCCACCGACCCCCTGCTCCGAGAAATACGTGTTCAGCATTGTGGTGGGACCAGCTGCTGCGCCATTACTAGGTGGTTTCAACAGAATTACTGGATGTTCATAAAACCACCTGGTATTATATTTTACATTAGACTGTTGTTTCTAAACAAGCTCAAGCATATTTTTTAAAACCACATAATTCACTTCTTTTTTATTTTGATAATCACTTCAGTGGTGCTGGTTCATAGTGCCTAATTCTTCCCAGACCGATATTGGACACAGAAACAGAAACGAACAATCTATCTTGTTTTAACAATTTTGCATCTTCAAGCCTCAGTATAATTGTACACCGCTTCTTGTAATGGTTTTCTGGCTCCCCTCGACCCTGGGTTGTGGCCTTCATCTGTACTGCTTGTGCTCTGACCAGGAATCGAACCAGCAACCTTTCGGTGCACGAAATGATGCCCAACCAACTGAGCTACAACGACCAGGGTCAGAACATAACCTTTATGTTCAAGCCCCTCTGTGGCAGCCACGGCAGCCAGCTGCACAAACTCTCTTCTGGAAAGAACATGGTGTGAGGGTGTGGCGATAAGGGTACTAAAGCTGGACTGTTCTTATCCAATGTCAGCTTCTCTCATGGACAGTTTTTTTCTGGAACTGCCTGTTGGCCTGATGGAGAATTTCTTAGAACTGAGGCTCTTTGTACCCCACCCCCCTTCCTCCTCTTTCTCTCCCTTCACAGGTGTCAGCAAGTACTGTGTTGAAAACCCACCCTCCCTCCACCCAAATTCATGTCCACCTAGAACCTCAGAATGAGATTTTACTTGGAAATAGATTCTTTACAGATACAATTAGTTAAGATGAGGCCATACTGGATTAGGGTGGTCCTTAATACCAGTGACTAGTATTCTCACAAGAAGGCCTTTAGAAAACAGAGGAAGACGGTGGTGTGAAGACAGTGGCAAAGATTGAAGTGATATATCTACCCACCAAGGAAAACAAAGGGCTGCCAGGAGAGGGGACAGATTCTTCCACAGAGCCTCCAGAAGAAACCAATGCTGCAGACATCTCGATTTCAGATTTCCAACCTCCCAAATGGGGGGAGAATAGATTTCGATTGTTTGTGGCTACCCGGGGCACGGCACTGTGCTATGGCAGTTCTAGAACCTAGCACACAGCTCCACATTGTGGTCTGAGGTTCTCCAGGTCTTCTGCTCGCCTTCCCCTCTTCATCCTTCACAGGCATTCCCACCTAAGGCATGTCCTGCATGTCTAGTTCCATCTTGGCATCTAGTTTCTATCCAGAAACTCAAACCGACACAATGACCAAAATAAAAAGTTAGCTCAATTTTCATCTTTCTACCAAAATCTTCGGACAAGGGTCTTTACCATCGATTAAACAAGAATTGTCAAACTGCTACTATTGAATCACTCCCAAGGTATTGTGCTGAATGGAAGGGATACAAATGGATAGAGTTTTGTCTTGAGGAATTCATCAAGAAGAAAATATTTCCATCTCAGTACAGTGGCAGAAGTTATGCTTGATCCCAGATAGGAGGTGTACAGGAAGCAGCTGATCCATGTTAAGCTCTCACGTTGATGTCTCTCTCTTCTCCCTTCTCCTCTCTCTAAACTATTCTTTTTAAAAAATGTTATATTCCGCAGGTGCCCAGCTCGCTCAGTCGGTAGAGCATGAGACTCTTAAAAAATGTTATATTCCCTCTGTTGACATAAGAAACATCCAAACCTGTAGAGAATTTTTGTAAGAGTTTTTATTTGAACCGAACTAACAGCATACGCCAGGGAGCAAGATCTCAGATCTTCTGAAGATAAATCATTTTGCAGCGATTTTTTTTAGGCCTTTGAGATTAAAGAAGGGACATAAGAAAGACTGGAGAAAGCAAGGAGGGGATTGGATTTTTGTATAGTTCTTTAGTATGGTGCTCTCTTGAGGGTGGTTATTTTTTTCATTTCAAAGTTGTATTAAGTCATATGCATGGAAACAATGGGCAGGGCCTGCTTAAGGCAAAGAACTTTTTATTAAAAAATTATAGCCTGTGGCATGACTACCCACCATGGCCTTCCAGTTAGTAACTTATGACCAGGTCGCCCTATGAGGTTCCTTTTCATACAGCCCCTCTTTTCACCCACACCTCTCCTCCCTTTTATCAGGTAATTTTGATAGAAGTGCTAGCTCTGGAGCAGCTGGAAAACTGCAGGGAGCACCTCCCAATGTCCCAGGCCACTGACCTCCTCTGGAGGGAAATCTCTGTAACAGTCACCCGAGGCTTCCCAGAGTCTGGGCTCCCAGGGTCCAGGCACTCCAGACAAAGCAGACATCTGCCAGAAGCACACTCCTGCAGAAATCTTCCCAGCCTCTCTGCCTTGCCTCTTTCTGATTTCTCCTCTGTTGTCTTCCCACTTTTCATGTTCAATATTCAGTCTTGGACTCCATTCTCAGTCTCCTTTATTTAATGTGAAATATTTGCTCCGTTTACTAAACCAGTGCCTTGATTAATTCCTCCATACCATCTTCAAGTATTTGAAGGTTATGCAGCTGTGTGGGTTACAAAGCCCATTCCAGGAAAGGCGGAAAACCAAGGGTCCTCGTCAGCAGT